TCGATGCAAGTTTTCATCTTGATTCCGAATATCACATTAGTTTTCAATAAAAGCGTTTCTCGGCTGAGGAAATGGAAAATACCTAAAAAGGAAAACCTGTGGAAAAGCCCAGAAGCAAAGCTGGATAAAGCTGCATGCACCATAGACATAGGACATCGAGACGAACATTTTGACGTGAAAATGAATGAGATTGGACTTTAGTGCTATTTAGCGTTGTGATTTTACTGAACACACCTATTTTTCAGCATATTTCTCATATTTCCTTATTTGTTTTACCGAATAACTCCGTAAGGAAAAGTCGTAGAAACAAAATTTTTGCGCCAATCGATAGAGCGTTGGATGGACTATATGTGACACTATTTAAATCACAGGAAAGCTCACCTTCGATTTTTGGCCAAATGTCCGTCTGTATGATCACTGTGCAGATTGAGGAAGATTTTGATCCGCTAGGTTTGGAAGTTCACTAATCTCATCTTCTTATGATGAAAACATTTGATAAGCACACAGCGGGCTCTTTCAATGTACAATTATTTAGACTCTGGATTCAGAAATTCTGTTTTTGAAACTAATAATCTCAGAATTGGAAAAAACAATCGATGCAGGAAAACAATTGAAATGAGGAGAAAATCTTAAAATCAGCTCCTGAAATTAGGAAAAGTTTTATCAGGAGAAAAGTCTAAAAATCAGGGATCTCCTTGTCAAATCAGGAGATCTGGGCATACTGTTTACAATATCGAGATACGTTTTTCTTCTAGTTTGTATATAAATTTGGGATAGAGGTCTTATCAAAAACTTCGCCTTAAAACTTTGTTAGAGAAAGTCCATTCGAGGTAAGGTGTACCCCGATCCCGATATTTTTGTTATGTGCAAGATAATCGACTGTGGAGAGTTCGAATCTCTTTTCGACCGAATAAACTTTCAAAGTTTTTCGATTAGGCTGGTATAGATTCTCTGACGAAAACTATTTTAAATACGAACAAGGCATCGAGCTGAATAAAATGAGATTCAATGCGCCATTCTTCCGCTCAATAAATAAATCTTCGACTAGATGTCAGAAAAAGATGGTCATGTGGTAAAGATGCCCGTGATTTGTTATGAGTTTGGAATTGAACCCAAACTCGAAGGGGATTATTAGATATGCTTCATCGGATATACACACTCAACTAGGACATCAATACTTTGGACTATCTATCAGGCGTAAATTCATCTCCGATTTATATTTAATATTTTGGAGATTGTGTAATAACACTTCGACTTCGACAACATAAGCAACAAATTTCAGCATAAACAAATTCTGTGAACATTGCATTCTCGTTCTGTTCTCAAGGAAATCTAACTGTCTGTAGAGGATGTACTCAAGCATGCCATCGGCACATTTCTCTATAGCATATCTCACTTCTCACACAACCTCAAATCGAACAAAAGCTCTCCATCCGAGCTTGACCTTTTATGTCATAGATATTTCTGTGCTAAGAATATTTTAGGATTGTTCAGCACTCTTCTCCTTACCATGTCTGAAATGACACTTTCGGAGTAATTAAACAATTAATAATTAAATTAAATTAAGATTTCAATTTCGATGGTATTATAAAATAATTCATTATATTTTATTGGAATGTCATTACAAAAGTTATTTTGTAGACAATCTTTGGTCGCATAAAATAAACTTTAAAAGGTGTGAAAAGTTTTGGAACGACATAAGTGAAAGATTGTAAAAAAGTGATTTTTCTACTTTTAAGCATAAAAAGTAATTTTTTGAAAACCTTGCCAGCGATTGCACGATAATAAAGAATTTTCAAGAAAAAGTTTCGCTGCCAAAGTTGTAGGCGATGTAATTCTGCATGCGGTATGCGGAAGGGAATTTCAAAACGAAATTTTGAACAGAAGTTAAACGAATATTTTAAAATTTTAAAGCTTTTTGTCGTTAGAAGAGAAAAACTGTTTCGCTTATCACACGTAGAATTTCATACGGAAGAACTTTTGTTCCAAAAATTTTTATGAGTTATGGTTTGCGTGGGTAGGATCCGTGACAAGATTTTGATGCATCGGGTGCTAAAAATTACGAAAAAAACATTTTTTTCTCACAATTTCGCACAGATTTTGTGCAATACACGCTAGGAAAAATACAGGACAATATAACCAGACCGTTTATGAAACCAACGCTTTTGGAAACATGGAAAATATGTTGCCCCAGAACATGGTGTATAATCATATATTTACAAAAACACATTTTTATTTTATTACTGAGGTATCGATGCTTAGGATATACTTCTATAGGCACAGAGAATAGTTGTGCTTCCAAAATAAGCATATTTATAAAAGGTGCGACTGGATTTAGCCAAAATACATTGATGAAATTTATTTTACATTTTCACTCGCATCCGTCAGCTGCCATAGTCATTTGAAATCATTAGCGAAAAACTTTTGTAATGTTTCGTGTTAGTCGCCGTTTGTGTGCATACATCATAATATCATCATACTTCGTTATACACTCATGAATGGCACAAGAAGTCACGTGCATAAAGTACTTCTTTGCAAGAGCATGTTAGCCACGAGCCATACTTGAACACACTAAATCAGTATTTTAAGAATCACAGCGAACTTATAATTCTATTCCATTCGATAGTTTTCCAACTTAAAATATCAATGAAAGGTTGCGCCCACCGAGAATCCGAGAAAAAGTTTTAGGAACATAGTAAAGTCACAATTATTACACTTTACCCACTAATCGAACTATTTTTTTAAGATAATAAAGTTACTATGTAATTAATAATTTTTCTTATAATCTAATATATATACAAAAAAAGTAACAGCATTAAATGGACGAATGAAGACTAGATATCATAATATATTTACAAATATCCTGAGCAATGCCTTATGACTTCATCATATTTCTGCATATTGGTTTCGAACGTTTATTGAATAATAATTTTCGTCGTAAAAGGCATTCAACACCATAGATTAAAGGCTCGCCAGTGTCATTGTTTCGCTGCTTTTGCTTATTTTTTTTAAGAACAAAAACGGGTTTATCAAATTCAACTAATTTTCCATATAATATGTGTTGACCAATAATAAATATCGGAGTATTCTAAATATAAATTGAGCAAAAATATTTCCACTTTATGATTCACTCCCAGAGAAAAATGAGTAATCTCTCTGCTCGTTGCAGGAAAATTCGTTATACTCACATCTACTGTGAAAAACAAATAACCTAATCGTTCATTTTTTAGTGATTCGCTATTAGCATAATCCAGTGCGCCTTGCAATTCAATCATTAATAATTCATTTGAATTTTCAGCTCTAAAACAAAAAAAGATCAATATAAAAGCTCAACTTCAGACAACATTCATTAATAGGAGCGCATAAATGAAGGTCTGCACTAAAAATGTTATGAGCCTATTTTTTATGTTTTTCAAACTTTGTCACGAATAACAGATTTCTAATTACGGTGGGAACTATTATTAAAACAAGTACAGATTTACAAGAAAAAATCGTGCGCAGCTCTTCTATCTCTCGTTTTATCGAAAAGTGATTATTCTGTATTTTTGCAGACTCAAATATCATAATTTCTTTTCACTACTCCTTTCGAATCGTGCATCTTCTACCAAAGATTGAAAAGCCCACGTAACGTCCCTACTCGACACTATTCATTTTCAGAACCCAGAACAATGCAACGTCAAAAGTTCTAACTTTTTTACTCAACTCAGGATGTACAAATTTATCATAAAAAGTTGTAATATTGAATCAACTCATATTAGTACATATGAGATAGTTCAGATCTTGACAATACTCGCACATGAAACCGGAAATATACGTTTCAACCTACTTTTGAATGAATATTTGAACCATGTTTCGTAAATCACTCACCTCTAAAATACACAAAAACAATGAACAGGCACAGACAAGCTCGTATGAGTAAGAGGAGCTGGGAAATCGGAACTCTTCTCACGTCTTTTCAGTTCCCTACGTTTATTGCGGATAGTAAAGCTGATACAAAAAATGCCATATCTAATAGCCTATCGGTGCGAAAATTTGACAGCATTTAATATAACTAATCCGATTTGATCCTCGATGTACTTGTTTATTTCAAGTCTGGTCGTTTTTTCTACAAACAACATACGCCAGATCTATTGTATTGACGTTTCAGGAGCCTTTTCCTTAAAAAATCCCACTAGCGTTACATCTTTACAAAAATACTTTTATTTAACATACCAACAACATTATTATAGAAAAAAGGAGATACATAAAAAAATATACAACACATACTCATTAGACTAATTTTGCATTCAGTTATTCGCTCTCTTTTTTATTACGAAATTACATAATGTATACAGTAGAACTAAATCTAAAAAAAGAAAACATTTTCGATGTGTCAATTCATTTTACAAAGAATCATTGTTTATTTGATTACATCTTTCATTTTCGAAACAGTGCACACGTTTCAACTTCTCTATCTACTGCCTCACACACATGAACACAACATTAAAAAAAGGCATAAAAGTTAAAAGAAAACAGTTCATATCAAGGAGCTCATCTACTTGAACACATGTCGTATTTCCAAAAATTTTTGTACAAGAAAACAAATAAAATCTGAACACAGCCACAAAACAAAAACACAGAATATTTTCTCTTTCTTCATTTCAATTAATAAAGAAAGCAGAATATAGTGGAGAGAGATCAGTGAGGACCGTTATTAAACTTGAAAACATGTTGGTTCTACATTATACACCCTGATTTTTTCGAAGATGCTTTTCTTTAAATTTTCTTTCGATTCAGACATTCATCAGCTGGTTTCAATGCTAATTGAATATATGTAGCCGACAACTTTTGACGTTTATTTATTGTTCTATTCGACGCAGCAGATCGTTTTTTACTATTATTATTGTCTATCGTATCCGAACTATCGACTTTAATTATTACTAACGAGGTTACCGACGATCTTGTTGTTTTAATTTTTTCTAATTCATTCAACAATATTGGATCTGATCTCATCCTAATTGTCAATTCTGGTATTTTTTTTGTTTCTGTTGTTGTTGTAGTAGTTGTTCATTAATCAGTTTATTTTGTCGTTTTACCAAACGACTTGATAAGCGACACTGATTTGCATCATTTAACAGTTCATCTTTATCTTCTGCACCAATATCCTCGTTGGATACAAATAAACTCGTTGTTGTCGTCTTTAAAGTTGGCAAACAGTCATCATTATCTGTCGATGTGGTAGTTGTTGTAGTCGTTGTACTCGATTGTCTACGAGAAAAACGGTTAACACGCCACAGACCAAACGTTGAATTTTTTGAAATATAATCATTTTCTAATTGAATATTTGTGATTGATGATATTGACGAGGATGAAGAGTATTGTGATCGAGTTCTTGTTCGTCGTTGTGATAAAGAATCTTGTCCCTGTGGTTCATTTGATGATGACGGAAGTACAAGTTTTTGATGTGACTAAAAAGCAACAAAGAACTGCAATCAAGAGCAAGCTTTTCCCAAATAAATGCTTGTTGACTCAATAGTTTTCGATCAGAGCGAAAAGACGATTAGGGTACATCTTAATCTAAATACAGCACTAGAAACTAGAAAAAATTTTGCGTCTTTTAACCTAAGACCGAAGCTTTGGAGTGAGTTGATATGATTATCCAAAGGATGAATTGCAAAGTGGCATCATTTTTTCTGCCCAACCCGTTAATGTACTAAATACATATATATAATTTTATTCAAGAGAAGAGCAAAAATACAAAATTCTGTTTAAAAAAAACAATAAAACACTTTGATTTTAGAAAGACACCTATACGTGGAGTGGGACAACACCAAATAAGACCATAATCAGTTGTTTCTAACATTTTTAATCGAACATTGGTTACAAAATCATCAGTTAATTCACCATTTTTTCCATCTTCAATACATTACTTTTTATATTTAGCAAAATTAGATTTACGTTCTTCATACTGTTTCACCATAGCATGTTCATATGCATTTGAAAAATTCCAACCTCTCTGTAACACCTAAAATAGAATATCTTAACTACACTTCATTTCACCAATTGAGACGTTGGAAAATTTTGAGCGTAGCTCTGTTCATATCATAGAGTGTGCATAAAGTAGAAAAAAAGTGTAACGGCATTATGTTCAGAAAACAGCGTAACATGGCCAAGTTTAAGTACAGCTTTTACGCTCATTTCCATACATACCACAGATGAAAACCCGTATTAAAAGTAAAAGTAATTCGTTTGTGTCATTGTCATGCTATATGCGCTGTAAAAAGGTTGATATTACACAACACTTATTAGCAAAATTTGGGTCACGACCTTGGGGCAACGACTTATTATTCTAAAAAAGTTTTGTGTTTTCTATTATTTACATCATGTGCATAAAACTGTATTTACCTGTCATTTAGCATCGAATAAAAGTTAGTAACAGAAGGAATAATACAACGGAAGTCATTCTGCAGTTCTATTTCTACATATTAATTCAAGCAAAATATGAGATATATTCCAAAAATGACTTTATTATGACTGAGTATTGTGTGAGTAACGAATGCAGTCTCAACAGGAACCGTAAAAAAACTGGATTATCGTGAACTAAAATAAATGCAAGAATCAAGCACAGATCACTCTATAACTCTCACCGCAGAGGCGCGTTCTATACACGTTTTTACGAGTAATACTGCAAGCTTTGACATAGTCAACTTTCAAAAGTGTTTTTTTTTTAAGTTCTGAGCATGGTCAAGACAGACTTACTCTAATGCATTTCAATGCCTGAAAAAAAGGGAAAAATTACTGTGGACACGTATCTTGATCCCTATTTTCCACATTCTGTTTAGCAAAGGTTTTGTCTTAATTAGGGAGAAATATTATATTGTTTACTAGCATAGTACCTTGCATCCAAATGATCCAAGTAAGAATTTGATGTCTCAAACGCGTCTGAACGCGTCCAGAATGAAATAACCGAACCCGTCAAAATGCGTCACACACGTATTTGTAACCAGATACGTTTCGATGTGTCTAGATGTTTCATTTTGGATGCGTTCAAACACGTTTATTCAACGCAAATATTCGCATAAGGAGCAAAGCAGCATTTACCTTCAAAACAAAAAAGCTCTAAACTTATAGAATTGGTTTTTGACAAAACTATATAAGCTTTTTTAAATGTAATAATTACAAAACAAAAGCAAAAATGGCCAATATTTTATGAAACTTTTATAGAAATCGGAAAGAACGTTGATCAGCCTTATCTCTTTATTCTATTTCTCGTGTACACGGCTCATACACGAACTGACAGTAAAACTAGAAAAGGTGCTCCGATCGGCTAGAGACGATTTAAAAGATGCAAAATCTATTTTTGTTCGTGAGTATTTTTTTAATTTTTTTGTGATAAACGTAAGATAGCTATAAGATCAAGTATTCAGAAAATCGGTATGAAGCCGTTATACACTGCGGCTGTGCGCTGGTTGAGAAATGATTTCATTTCCACTTTTCAATTGTTTCGGCTCCGCTGCAAGTGCCGAGATATTCACCGTTCTACACTATAGAGGGTGTTATTTTCGTGGATATATATCATAGAAAAAGTTTACATTAGTTGTTAGACTCACCAACGTGATTTTTCGCTGCTTTAACTAGCATTGACGGTACCCAAATAAAACGTGTCAACAGATTTTTGCAACAGATCTGTACAGATTTTGTGCAGACGTGAAGCAGATTTCGTCAAAATATGAATATGTGTTGCAGACTTTTGACAGATTCTGTGAAAGAAGTTTCAGGGTCGAGAAAGCTCCGTCTGAAAAATTTTTGTTGAGGCAGTTGGTAAGACGCTTACTCATAATCAAGTATGTGTCAAGGAGGGAGAGCCCTGCGAGACAAACTTTTCTGTTTCCCCGTGCTCGAACGTAAACATTTTTGTCCCGACTGGTAAGTCCGAGCCCGTGAACAAATAATGTTGTCTCGAACCCGTCTGTCGCGTTAAAAAATTTACGATCTTTTTTGTCCCGTAATTTTTGAAAAATGTTTTCTTTTCAGATAAACCGTAAGTGTTAGTTACAAGAGACGCGTAAAGTCTCAGACCTATTTTTGCAAAATCCATATGACAAAATTTAAGCCTAATTTATTTGATTCTAAACTTAAAAGTTGCTGTATAAAAAATATTTACATCCATTCACTACCTCAGAATCGAAAGGAAAGAACTGTAAACCTAGTTTAGATATGAAACATCTTCTCAAGTTTCAATCCAGATTATTTCGCCTCTCCCAGTTAATTTTTAATGTTTAGTATAAAATTACGCTTTTGAATTGATCGTATTACAAGAATTAAACATTTGAAGTTGCAGTATAACTACAATCAAAAGACAAAACTTACGGCACAACATTTTTCTGCGACTTGTCTCGACAAGGTGAAATTTTTTTATTCTCCCGAACCTGTGAGTCCAAGCCTGTAAAGTTACTTTTCGTCCCGCAGGACGAGATGCAGGGTTGCCCCACAGATCTCTACAAGTAAAAGCAGGGTATCATGTTGAAAGCATTTAAGTTCCATTCTAAGTTGTAATTCGAAATTCGGTAATGTGTTCCACTGTATAGCAAAACAGGTCGATTTTGTTGAGGGTGGTTTAAATCATTCCATAAGGATTTCATATATGTTTGGATCTAATATCTGAAACTTCAGACATTGAAACATTCAGATGAACATCAGCTAATACAGTTAAATGTTTTAAAATTATATTAATAATTTTCTTTTAGTCACCTGAAATCAGATTTATTTAAACTCTTAACAAATAACCACGTTTTCCTCGAACGGCATATGTGAGATATTTATTTTCAATCATTCCGAGGAAGAACAAAAAGTGTTTTGAACTCATTCGTTATCTATGCTAACGGAGGAACCTCTTCAGGTGTCCATTTCCAATTTCAGCCGTCTTTTGACGATAGATAGAGAATAGTATCCTAGTAAAAAGACTAAAAGGATTTAGGTCGATATTACTTCTTTCAAAAGTTACAGAATTTTTTTATTTAACTGTATAATGCATTATATAAAATATTAAAAAATTCATAACGTCTCGAAAAAAGCGAATTAAGATCTGACATTTTTTGTTATAATGACAACAATTGCCTGTCAATAACATAAACCTCTGCCAGTAATAGAAGACTATCCCGAAATAGAAGATCATCCCTCATTAGAAGACCACTGTCGATCATATGACTTGAAAGGCAAATAGAAGTCCATGGTCTTCTACCGTTGAACTACTAGCAGGCAATAAAATTTGACCGCAATAGAAGACCACCCTCAAAGTTTTTAGTTGTCGGACAAAATAAAAGACCACCTGGTCTTCTATTACGGGGAGGGGTGTAGTAAGTTTCAGCCTTCTAGCTCTTTCTTTCTTGATTTATAGAATTTTCATTTTTTTGAGAGATTAAGCAAAAAGCATGTAAGGTAAGTTTTACGTGACGCACTTATTAATACTACATGGCCGAAGTAGGCATTGCAGTTACAGATTTAATCTTTTCTATCCAGCTTTTGTATTTAAATTCACATAAAAAGCAAGCTTCTTTTATTTATACAAAATATTTAAAAAAATAATATTTAAAATATTTAAAAAAAATTTATACAAAACAGTGATTTAGACTTTAATTCAACTGACTCACATTCTGAATAACTGTAAATAAAATTCACAGTGGAGAAAAACAAAAAAAAAGTATTTATATTTAAGCAAAACATAGTCAAGACAAGCCGATACCGGCATCGCAATTTTGATACCGGTTACACTCCTGGTTTGCATTGAAATGACAATTTAGCTCTCTTTGAATCCTTTTTTTTGTGAAATCTTGTTGATTCGATCTTCCGTCTGCATTGGGTCAGAAGAAGGAAATGATCTTTTGAGTAGGAATCGAAGGAAAGCATAACTGCAGATTCTAGTCTTAGTAACTTAAAAATCTGTCCAGCCCAGCGTTCTCTTTCCATAACAGACAGTGATTGAAACGCGTTCGTTAATAGAACTATTTTCTGATTAGCTATTTTTTCGTTTCAGATTTACGTATTTGCTTCTAGATTATAATTATTTACACGATGCATTTTCACCAGATTTCTGTTTTCTTTTCAACGTTTTCAACTAAAACTAGGACATAAGGACCATAAAACGGCGTTTAACAAACGCTATTTAGATGCTCCTTTGTCTTACTTTTACAGTTATGTTTTAGAATAAAAAATAAAGAAGCAGATCGCTTCACTAAACTTCCCTTCGATTCTGTTTTCTCAAAATATCAGACATTAACTAATAGATAAAGTGGAAGAAAACTACCTTTAGTTTGTCACTTTTGAAAGAAACGTTACTTACGCAAAAGCTCTTTGGTTTTCTTCGCCATAAACGGTAAATTAAAAAAACGCTCTCGTATGCAGAACTGCTTTCTGCGATCAGAAAGATTTCCTGTTTCCATTTTTTGTTTACAGTGCTTCATTCTTTTTGCTCATTGTTTACTTTCAGATGTATTTTTTTTTATCCAAGGACGACTGATATTATTACTTAGACGGATCGCATCCCGAAGAAAAGACCGGTAAGATGTGATCCGTCAAGTTTAGTTCTAAGTTAATATAAGATGATGTGCCGCAACAGGTTTTAAGATCAATCTGATGAATCTGTCTTCTTCTACAGATAGTCTCTTTCACCCATTCGACATCTCTCACCACATCTGACTTTAGCTTAGTCGAAAAGTCAGAAATCGTACTATTTTTCTCATCGCTACATCTTGCTTTGCGGAAGATGGTTTTTGTGCTTGATTAGAAATAGAAAAACAGTACGATTTGTGCCTCTTCGTCCAAGCTAAAGTCAGATATGGTGAGAGATGTCAAATAGGTGAAAGAGACTTCCTATAGGAGAGAAAAATGAATCAAGAAGTAAGCTATAAAATAATGAACCTAAGACGTTGTAACGCGGTGCGATCGGTCAGATGAACTTGTTTAACGCGTTAGAACGTGTACGATATAGGGTAGGTTCCAATCCGTTCAGAAAGATGGGTCAGGTTTGATCGAATTTTAACTGGAACGCATTGAAACAAGTTGATTTGACCGATTTCACCGCGTTGCAACACGTAAGAATGTAATTCCCCCCTGTAACTTAAACCCCCTGTTTACACACGTTGGAGAGATGTCTAGTTTTATTAATGAGTACTAAGTATACTTCATGGATAAATATTACAAAAGTAAATAAATACTGGTTCGTTGGAAAAAGCACTTATGACTCATTATATAGAAGAAAGTACATTTTACCCAATAACCATGGACATAGCATGCACTTAGTATGCACTGAAAATGGCCATTAAATGTCCAGGTCGAAGAATCGTACTAGGATCGTATCTGAATCAGACAAAATCGTACCAAATCGTATGAAAATCATATATGAATCGTGGTATCTGATTCGTCCTCTGGATCGTATAATACGATCGTACAAGATCATATACGATCATACAACTTCGTCTGAAATCGTACAGTACGAGCCAGACGACAAATCATGCACCACGATTCGTATGTAGGTCGTACATAATCGTATATGATTTCGTACGATTCGTATACGATCTTGTACGATCGGATAGTACGATTCAATCACCAGGGTGTACGTAAAATATTGCATGGCATGTGAATGGCAGCGTTGAATGCACTGTCCATCCACTCATTATGCACTACGACGCTTTGAAAGTCAAACGAAAATACAGTGGATTATGCACTACCCATCCCAGGCCGTGAAAAATGAGATAAAAAATGAGCCATGAATGACTCATTTATGTGCCATATATGGCTCATTTTTAAATCATATCTCTCCCATATTTATCTCATTTATTGTATCATAATGTAGTCATA